CAGTTTGCTCCTCTCTTTCAAAAATAAAAGAAAGACTCCCTCCCTGGTACACAATCCCCCCGCACCCCTCCCACCGCCCCAAGTACATAACAGTCCACAATTAAGGTTGCATAGTGGAATGAAAATAAAACATTTTCAATGTTAAAAAAACTTTCTGGAAGCAGTCTGCCTTTTCTTTCTTCTGTAGAGTGTCTGGTGGCTTCGAACTGCCAACCTTGAAGGTAGCAGCCTAAAGCTTTACCCATGACACCATTAGGATTCTTCAGGTATTTTCAGACACCTCAAATGCATTTGAAACTAGACAGTCAATAAGGAGAAACAAAGAATCATCGGTACCTCTGAATTATGGAGCTGGAAAAGAATATTGAATATAGCATGGATTGCTAGAAGAATGAACAATTTGCCTTGGAAGAAGAAGAGCCAGAATGCTCCTTAGAAGGAAAGATGGTGAGACTTTTTCTTATGAACTTTAGACATGTTACCAGAAAAGATAGCATCATGCTGGTAGGAGGACAGTGAAAAAGAGAAAGACACTCAACACAATGGCTGTAACAATGGGCTTAATCATAAGAATGATTATGATGATGGTGCAAGACTGGGCAGTTTCATTCACAGGGTTGTTATGAGTCAGAACTGTCTCAATGCACCCAGCAAAAACATGTGGGAGATCTGGGTTTGATTTCCTACGTCACGCACATTCTTTATCCACAGTAGCAAAAGCTTGCATGCTACTACGATGGTCTGGTGGCCTAGTAGTAAAGAATTGTGCTGTCCAAAGGCATATGGCTCTAATCTGTCAGCTGCTCTGTGGGGAAAAGATGACAAATCAACTCTTTACTGACTCTGAAAACCCACTAGAGGGTCAGCTATGAGCTGATACAACAACATGATGCCAAACAGCTGTCAATGAAGCTTCCAGACTAAGATAAATTGGAATACAGACCTGGGAATCTACATCAAAGCCAATAAAAACTCTATTGTTCACAAATGTCCAAGCTGCAATTAATCACATGGATAGCTCAGGACTAGGCAGCCTTTATGCATTGTGCATGAGGTGGTCATTAGTTGAGAGCCTTTTCCATAACAGCTGACAATAAATTGGGGAAAATACTACTAGAACTCTCATCATGGACCAAAGGCAACATTAGGATGTTGTTGTTGTTATGTGCCATCGAGTCATTTGCGACTCATAGCGACCCTGTGTACAAGAGCCCTAAACGCCGTTCTATCCTGTGCCAACTTCACTGTCTCAAACACACTCATTCCCACCACTCCACTCACAGAACTGATCCATCTCATAGAGGATCTTCCTCTCCTGCGCCATCCCTCCACTCTCCCAAACATGATGTCCCTCTCCAAGGACCAGTCCCTCCTTGCAACATGCCCAAAGTATGTGAGACGAAGCTTCAGAAGCCTTGACTCCAAGAAGCATTCTGGCTTCACCTTCTCCAGGACAGACCTGTTTGTTCTCCTAGCAGTCCATGGTGTATTCAACACTCATCTCCAGCACCACAGCTCAAAGGCATCAATTCTCTTTCTATCATCCCTAGTCGCTGCCCAACTCTCCGATGCATAGCATGAAACTGCAAAGACTATAGCCTGGATCAGGTGCACCTTGGTCTCCAGCCTGATGTTGTTGCTCTTCAGTACTCTTGAGAGGATCCTCACCGCTGACTTTCCCAATGTAATTCGTCTCCTGATTTCCTGGCTGCTGTTACCAAGAGTGTTGACTATGGAACCAAGTAAACAAAAACTGTTAACTATTTTAATCTCTTCACCATCCATACTGATGCTGCCAATTGGCCCAGTGGTGAGAATCTTTGTTTTCTTGATGTTGAGCTTCAATCCATATTGAAGACTGTAGTCCTTGACCTTCTGCAGCAAGCACTTCAGGTCCTCCTCAGTTTCAGCAAGCAGGGTTGTGTCATCTGCATGATGCAGGCTGTTGATAATTCCTCCACCAATCCTGATGCCACATTCCTCCTCATACAGCCCAGCATCTCGGATGATCTGTTCTGCATACAGATTGAAAAGGTATGGAGACAAATTACATCCCTGATGGACCCCTTTCTTGATTTTGAACCATCCAGTGTCTCCCCACTCTGTTCTGACTACTGCCTCTTGGTCCAAGTATAGGTTGCGCATTAGCACAATCAAATGTTCTGGGATTCCCATTCTTCTGAGTCAGCCTTAGCTTGTTGTGATCCACACAGTCAAAAGCCTTTCATAGTCAATGATGCACAGATAGAACATTAGGCTAGATGGAGAAAAACTTGAAACTATCAGCAAACTTATCCTACCTGGATCCATAATCAATATCAGATCAGGAGATGTATTACACTGGGAAAGTCTACAGTCAGAAACTCTCCAAATTATGGAGAAGCAATAATGTTTGTTTGAGGACTAAAGTGTGCCTGATTCAAAAAATGGTCTTTTCAATCACTGCTCAGCTCCTGAGAGTTTAACAGTGAAGAAGGATGGCAAAGAAATAATTGATGCTTTTATCCCAATCAGATAAGTCTTAGTGTAGGTGAAGCCAGAGTATTCCTGGGAGGTAAAAATGATTAAGGTTTTTCTCACACACTTTAGGCAAGTTGCTAGGAGAGGCTATTCCTTGAAGAACAGTATTATGCTTGGGAAAGTAGAGGTTTGGCAAAATGAGAGGAAGACCCTCAATTTACTCAGAGACTACAGCAATGGGCTCAAGTGTGTCAGAGATTGTGAAGATGGTACGAGATAAGATAGAGTTCAGGTCTACTGTTCTACGAATAATACTTGACTCAAGGTACTTAACAACCACATGGTGATTGTGGTCTTGGAAAAGAGTGCTGAATATCCACGGACTGCTGGAAGAACAAACAAGTCTGTTTTGGGAAAAGTGCAACCAGAATATTCCTTAGACGTAAAGATGGTAAAACTCTGTCTCACTTATTTTGGGCATATTCTCAGGAAGGGTTAGTCCTTGGAAAAAGAAATCAATGCTAGGAAAGGTGGAGGGTCAGAAAAAGAAAGGCAGACCCTCAATGAGATAGTTGAATTGACACAGTGACTGTGCCAGAGATGGTAAGGATGGCACAGGTTCTCAAATCTGTTGCCCATTAGGTTGCTATGAGTCATAACCAATTTGAAAGTACTTAATTGGAAATATCCTCTTGGATATCACAGTGCAGAGAACATATGTACCTCAATTAGCTGGTGGATTCTGAAATTTACTGACACGTTTGTGCTGAGCTCATCAAAGATGTTACATCAGACCCATTCCTGGGAGATCTGGGATTCCCCGGCCAGGCCAGTTAGACATTACAACTCCCCACAACCTTGCTGAACTTTCTTAAAACTTTATTGCAGTATAAGATGTTATTTTCCACCTAATCTTCTTTCCTGACCTTCACAAAGATCACTCCCTTGCATTCTAGGCCCAGCAGGGCTTCTTAAGAGTAGCAAAGTACAACCACAAATTCACTGGACTGTTTTAAATGAGTGGGTGTGTGACAAGCATTAGATAAGGACCGGCATATAGTTGACACTCTGTTCAACTAATATTCATTAAGCTCCTACTGGGTGCAGGATTTGACCTGGGTGCCTGACGCACAGTAGTGAGCAAAGAAGACAAATCATGAAAGCAGTGCTGTCTGCTTTAAAGCATCTCGCCAGTTCCCACCGAAGGATAAAGTCTCAACTCTTCTAGCTGGACACAAAGAGCCCTTTACAATCTGACCTGTCTGGTCTGTTCCACATTCTCCACACCTGAGCCAATCACAAAATGGAACTTCCTTCTTTCCTAATATAAACCCCAATACCTTTGCACCCTTTTCTTTCTCCTTGAAATGCCTCTCTCTTCCCTTGCACAGGTCTTTTGTCTGATAAATTCTTTCTTTTTATTTTTTTAAATTATACTAGTTTACTTACAAAGTTCATATACATTGTTTTTCACACCAGATCTTTCCCCTTTCTTTTACCCACCCCTCTCTCCACCCATCATACTGTGCGATCCTACGATTCTTACATATCCCAAAGACCCAATTTCATAATGGGGCCCTAGGTCATCCAGAAGGAGCCTGAGTGGTAGGAGTGATTTAGCTGCTAACCTAAAGGTTGGTGATTTGAAGCCACCCAGTGGCTCACAGGAATAAAAACCTAATCCCTGGCCCCCAGAACATGACCGTTTAGAAACTCGGTGGAGCAGTTCTCTTCTCTAACACATGGGGTCGCCATGAATGGATTAGGGAAAGGGTGGCAACTTGAAGGAAGTAACAACAGGCAACTCAATCTGAAGTGCTTGTTGTCGTTGATGTCATCCAGCTGGTAAAAGCACTAGTTATTCTGTGTTGTTGTGCCCTATCGAGTCCGAATTGAGTCACAGCTGACCCTCCAGCACGTTTTCAGAGACAGTAACTCACATACAGGAGCAAATAGCCCATCTTTATCCCATTGAGCTGCAGATGGCCTTGAACAGCTTACCTTTCGATTGACAGCGCGAATCTTTACCACTAAGCCATCTCTTAATAACTAATGTGTGCCGCTAACCTGAGACCTCGTCTGCAGTAGGGTCAATGTCATATCCCCCCAAAGATCCCAGTGCTTGGCACGTGGTAGGCCTTCCGTCACTCTCTGAGTGGCAGGGACGTAAAAACGGCCAAAGAAGGCTATTTTCTTCAGGCGACCGCGGGGCCTGCATCCCCGAGCGTGCTGGGCCTGGTCGCCGAGGCCGCTGGCCGAATCGCTGTCGCCGCCACCGGCCACATGACTCGGGCTCAGCTCCCCGCCCCGCCCGCGTCCCAGCACAGCTGCCCGCCGCCGCCTCCGGGAGCTGCGGCGAGCGCGGTCGGCGAGCGTCACGGCCCTGCGCGCTCCCTCCTTCCCTCCCCACCGAGCTGCGCCAGGCCGGCCTCCAGGCCGCCCCTCCCGGCCTCCGGAGGAAACCGAAACCAAGTCCGGGGTGTGGGGGTGCGAGGCCGAGATCTCCCCGAAGCTACTAAGGTGGCGGTAGCCGGGCTTCCCCCTCCTCCCGGATCAGTCTCGGGCCGGCGGGGGGCCGGCCGGTGAGCAGCGCGCAGAATGGGCAGGTGCTGCTTCTACACTGTGGGGACGCTGTCCTTGCTCCTGCTGGTGACCAGCGTCACGCTGCTGGTGGCTCGAGTCTTCCAGAAGGCTGTGGACCAGGCGATCGGGAAGGTGAGACGCAGCAGGCTGTGTGTGTGTTTTTGTGTGTGTCCGCGCGCTCGCTTGCTCGCTCGCACGTTTTGCAGGGGTGCTCTGAGTTCCCCCTTCCCTGCTGTACCTTGGCCTGGAAAGATCTCCTCTTAAATAAACCCTCTACATCTCAGCCCTCCTTTCTTCTTTTCTTGAGGCTGCCAGGTGAGTGTGGGAGATGCACAGGGAGGGAGAAATGGTTGTGTTATTTACACTAATACGACTGTGGCTTTAGTAATTTTCTTTTTTGAAAGCTATAGCTAATGTTCTCCTATTTGCATTTCCCATCTGAATCTCTGTTGGCTGCAAACATATTTCCCTCCTAATTCATGAAGAAACAAAACAAATGAAAGACACCGCAAAGGAGGTGCCTGCTGCTTCCTGTGGCCTTTGAAGTGGCCTGGGGCTGGAGATGAAAAGGAGATGTGAGATCTTCTGTGTTTTTGTTTCCTAGGTTGGGCAGGGCCTTTCTTTGTACAAACCACTGCACTTAAAGCTTCATGTCTTGTACCAACAATTTTCACGGCTTTGTCACACTGGCTATTCTTGCTTTTTTCCACACAACCGTATAGTCTTCAGGCAAAGAAGCATTAAGAATCTTCGAAGAATTGAAATCTGTCTTTCCCCTGAATGAATGGGGCTGGAGAACTAGTTATTTCGGATGACTTTGCCATTTGTTGACTTCATGGGTCATTTCTTAGTTCCTTTCAGTCACACCCAAGGAATGGAAAGAAGAACAAGAGAGAGTTCTGGAATCACTTTTTCCTTTTAAAAAAGTCACTGGAGCACCCTTCTTTTTTAGCAGTCACAACTGCACGTGTAAGCTCTGGGCTTCACTTGCTCTTGACCCCTGCACTCCCTGTAAATAATGTCTAATGTCTTCTTCCAAATGGATGTGTTTCTATAATAGAGGTTTCCGGAAGCATTCAATTAATTGAAATTTGGCATTAAAGGCATATTTTTTTTTAAAAGAAAGTGCTATGATAAAACATAGTTGACTTTTCAGATAGATGTTCATATTGAAGAGAGAGAGAGAGAGACTCTCACTGTATAAACTTCTATAAGGCATTACCCCTCTAATACATTCAAGGGAAAGAAAAAAAGTTGAATCCTTTCCACTCCTATTCACCTCTAATCCATGGCAAGATGTTTTTCAGGATACAAACATACTAGTCACTAGAGTGACTAGAATTAGCAATTCCAGGAGTAGTCAATGTGTGAGTTTTCTTGTGGGGCTTTGAAAGTGCAGTAGGGGGAAAAAATACCACAGCAGTTGCAGAAAGTTAAGAAAAGTGGTTTTATTCTGCACACTGTGTTAAAAAAAGAACGAACCAAAAGAGAAATGGGAGCCTGCAAACATCTCAGTTCCTTGAGACAAATAGCTACAAACATGTAGATAAGATGCTACATGTAGGTAAATATGCTAAAATTTGGTGCTAATAGATGTAGTTCCCAAGTTTTCTTTGATTTAAAGGGGGGAATTCAACTTGGGGAGAATGAAGGGAGGGAGATAGCTTAAAATGTACAACAATGAATAAATAAAAATCTAAGTTTTCTGTAAACTTTTGTTAAAATCACAATTAAAAATTTTTATTAAAAAAAGGACAAACTCTTCTTGATAAACAAGATGTTTGCAGATTTGGAAATAGATTTGGAAACAAAATGTGGAAACTTTTGGAAGGTTTTTGTCATTTTAATAGGTTAGTGAGAGACTGAAGAGAAGTCCTTTTCTCTAATCCCATGAGATGGTGACTAGGGATAATGTGGGGGTGGACATAATATTTAATGAAGCAGGCCCTGGTTTCTCTCATTGCTCTTAAGTCAGAACCAACTCATAACTTATCCTCCAGCGGGTTTTTGAAGTGATTGACTAGGTGGTTTTCATAGTGAGGACTAATCTCTATCGTGAATGATAATAGCATAGAAGAACTGGACTTTAAGAATTGCCCAACTTTAGCTGAGGAATACTTTGCAATATGTGTATAAAGTGAAATGATAGGATTATTGTATTTTTTTATATAATGTTGTCTTGTTGTTATGTGCTGTCAAGTTGCCTGTGACCCATAGCGACCCTTTGTATGGCAGTTCTGAACCCTACCCTGTCCTAAGCCAGTCTCATTAATTCTGACACACCAACCCCATTGCCCCAATCACTGTATAGAATCTCATCCGGGGTCTTCATCTTCTGCACTGTCCCTCCACCCTTCTTAGTATAATGTCCTTCTCCAAGGACCAGTCTCCCCTGGCTACATGCCCAAAGTATGTGAGCTGGAGCTTCAGAATCCCAGCCTCCAAGGAGAAACTTGGTTTCACTTTCTCTAGGACAGACCTATTTGTTTCCTTGGCAGTCCATGGTATGTTCAAGATTCTTCTCCAGCATCATAATTCGAAGGCATTGATTCTTCTTCTGTCCTCCTTAGTCATTGTCCAGGTCTCTGATACATAGCAAGTAATTGCAAAGACCATGGCCTCGATTTAGGTGCACTTTAGTGTCTAGACTGACAGTATTGCTCTTTAGCACTCTGGCGAGGTCCCTGACAGCAGATTTTCCCAGTGCAGTTCATCTTTAGATTTCCTGACTGCTGGTTTTAAGAGTATTGATTGTGAAGCCAAGCATATAATGTGTCCATGTAAATAATTCACATACTCCTATAACACATACAGAGCACACATGCATAAGTGAGGTGTGTGGTTTAAAAAATAAAAACATTTTACGTGCATGTATATTATATATGTAAAAATATTATTATTTCAGTAGGCAGATTTGGGGATTCTCTATGTTATCCAGAGGTCCCACATTACCATATGTTCCTTCTTCAACATGACCCAAAGTATAGTAGGCTGAAATAGGGAACAAAAATAAGGATTTCACAGGTTAATACTCTTGGGCATGGGTCATACTCCACCATGTACTGGTTAAGTAGTCAGGGGCTGGTTATCGAACCTTTCTTAACCTTTAGTTTCCCCATCTGTGAATGTGGCTAGTGATAACTAATGTACAGAACAGGGAATTTTGGTGGCCTCAATAGATAAGGACTGATGTCCTTGAATTAATTGTCTCTTAACTCGTGACAACCCCCTCCACAATGAGATGAAACCATTGTGACTCATAGGGTTTTCTTTGGCTGAGTTTTTGGAAGATAGCCAAGCATTTCCTCCCCTAATCTGGCTTCGTCTGGAATGCTCTTGGAACCTGTGACATCATAACAAGCAAGCTTCCACTTCTATAAAGGTAGCGATTGTGCTTGAGATACATTGTCTGGCACTGAATCTAGCTTTCTTGCACAGAATATGAGACTTCTACGACCAATCACCAGTGCCTTTTTAACATATATTTAATGTATATAGTTAAAAATTACAGTAATTTCATTTTTGTTAGAGGCTATATAAGGAAAGAAAAAGTATATGAAACTTGGAGCCAGACACTAGACCAAAGAACCCGTTGCTGCAGAGTCAACTCCAACTCATCACAATCCTCAGGACAGAGTGGTCCTGTCCCGCCGAGTTTCCAGGGCTGCAGGTCTTTGTGGAAGCAGCCTGCTGCATTTTTCTTCCATGGAGCAGCTGGTCATTTGAACTGCTGACCTTTTGGTTAGCAGCTGACCCTTTAAGCACTGTACCTCCAAAGTTCCTATTCTCAAACACTATGTTTAAACCTGTTGTTTGTTGTTAAGTACCATCAAGTTGGAACTGGCCCACAGCAGACCCTCCAGTGGGTTTTCTGAGACAATACATTCTATGGGAAGAGATTGCCCATCCTTCTCCCACAGAGGATATGGTAGATTCGAACCACGTGCCTTTTGGATTACCGTGCAGCTTCTTCCAAGCCATTTACAAACTTTGTAGCTTTGGGAAGATTACCAAACTTCCTTAAGTTTCCATTCCATTGCTCAGAAAAGTGAGGGTAACTACCCTGGTGCAATGGTGCATTGACCGTGAGCTCACGAAGCTTAGGTTTCTGTGCTCCTCATGCAGGACAAAATGAGTGAGATGGTCTGTGTGAAGCCTGAGCACAGTATCAGGTGCAAACTAGGTAAACAATATCGGCAGGTGGCCTTATCTCCATCATCATTATTATTATGACAAAAGTTATTCACGACCTAACTCTCATAAAATATGATTCTCCCTGACATTGCCACTTCTTCATGATTTTCTTGAAGAAAGCCCATGCAGGTGCTTGTGAAATAAAGAAGAAAAAAGAATAGACTTTTAGTGTGTAGGTTTGGCCAGTTGGTGGGAGGGTAGTAAAATAATTTCCAGCAAAAGAATTTGCCTCACAGTCATTTCCAGGGAAAGAATTTGCCTCATACAGAAATTGTCCTTGAACCTTGAAGTGACCAAAGGTTATTGAAGGGTGATTTTTAATTTGCCCGGTGAACATAGTGTAAGGAACCAAGGTAATGTGGCTTAACTCATGATGGCTCTGTATTGGGCAAGCCTGGTTTTTGTTTTTGGGGTTTTTTTTTTCATTTGCAAATGAGGTTTAGTAATCCCTCCCTCCTCTTCTGCCCACACTCACTTCTTGGGGAGTATTATGAACACATACAAGGCCTCTGTCAAATGTTTTGGCAGAATGTTGCAGAAGCATAGCAGTGTGTCACAGCTTCTGGAGTCACCTTTCTGATGCTGTCCTTACAGCCCTGTTTGTGAGTGAGGGTGCTAGATCAGAGCTTGATCAGAGGGGATGTGGTTAGCGTTTCTTGAAGTCGAGAGAGAACCTTGGCGTTCTAGAGTCTTGAGCATTCCTCTGATCCTTACAGATAACCATCTTCTTCCCCAGTTCACTGCCAGGACCTCTGGTGGCCTAGTGGGTAAGGAGTTGTGCTGCCAAATTGAAAAATCCACCAGCTACTCCGAGGGGCTGGGCTCTATGAGGAGAAGTGTGACATCAGGATTGGTGGAAGATCTATCAACAATCTGCATTATGCAGATGACACAACCCTGCTTGCTGAAACTGAGGAGGACCTGAAACACTTGTTGCA